GGATCCCGGCTCCATCGTGGGCTGCCCAGCTGCATTTGCTCTGCCTCTTCCAGAGAAGCTTCCAGAGTGGCTGTGGAAATCTGGATCATGCCTTCAGCGCAGCTGGACGACCTGCCAATGATTACTGACCCCCTCATTTGCTGGCCCTGCTAGGATCAGGTGAGATGTGTGTGTGTGTGTGTGTGTGTTGTGTGTGTATGTGTGTGTGTTGTGTGTGTGTGTTGTGTGTGTGTTGTGTGTATGTGTGTTGTGTGTTGTGTATATGTGTGTGTTGTGTGTTGTGTGCGTGCGCATATCCAACATCTTGTGGAGGTTTCAAAAGCAACTAATCCCCTGACTGGCGCAGTGGCATGCCTATGATCCCAGAAACTCAGGAGGCTGAGGCAGGATTCCAAGTTCAAAGCCAGCCTCAGCAACTTGGTGAGACTCTTGTCTCAAAATAAAAACAGAACGAGTTTGGGATGCAGCTCAGTTCTACAGCACCCCTGGGTTCAGCCCCCAGGACCACAGGGGGGCAGGGGGGAGGCCAAGGAGGAAAGAGGCTGATCCTCATAGTTCTCAGGGGTATTGAAAGAGAAGATGGGACCAACCTTGCTTTTTTGTCATTTTATTTGATCCTTTTGAGTTTGGTATCAAACAAGCTCTTGAATGAATGATAATTCATATAATTAAGTACATTTTTAAAAGATTGAGACAAAATGAACCAACTCCCTGCTGCCAGGAAACCCGGGCAGAGGGCAGTGGACGTGTTGCAAGCCTCATATGGTGACCTAGAGCTTCCTGTTACAATCAGATATGTACCCACAGGCCCTAAAAATCTAAGTCATTCCGAGTGGTAAACACACGGGAAGTGAGTTATTCTCTATGCTGTCCTGAAGTCTTGAAATCTCTTTTCAACTTTTTATGATGGAAAAACACACAACATAAAATTTACCATATCAATCATGTTTCAATGATTGTACTTCAACAGTACTTCTGTTTCTTACCCTCCAAAACCATTATTTTTCCTGACTTAAAAAAGAATGCTAGACGTTTAAGCCAAACACAGCTTCAGACTTTATTTGGGATCCATGTTTAACAAACTAACCATTAAAATGCATCACTTAGAAAACCAGGGGAAACTGACCTGGCCCATTAGGGGGTATTTTGAATGACTGCTCATTTTGTTGGGTGTGATACTCATATAGCGGTTAAGTTTTTTTTTTTTTTTTTTTTTAAGTTCTCTTCTGCTGGAGACTCACACTGAAATATTGATGAAGAAAATGATGAGGTAGCTGGGATGGGTTTAAATAAACCAGCAGAGAAGGGACATGTTTAAATGCAACCAGACGGCTACAGTGGTAACTGGGAGATGGACACGGGGGTTCTCAGTGCTAGAGTGTGTGCTTGAAGACTTCCGTGCCGAGATATTTTAAAACGCAACGTTTATTGCAAAACACTTGAACAATTCTGAATTTAAAGTGTAAAAGGTGAAAGTCCCTGTAACGTCATGTCTTCTGTTTATCAGATATTTCATACTCTTCCTGACTTTTTATGCTTAACCTGATGGAGCAGACTGCCAAGGTGACCCTCACTGGATGCATGCCTCCTTGCAATGTGGATTTTCCAACTCTTCCAGGTGCTCGTGGGACTTGTCAGTGAAATGCGATGTGAATGCTGGGGTGTCTGAAGCCTCCTCCTGCAGCCCCCTTCCACTCTGTCTCCTCTGTGAGTGGTCAGGGGACCCCAACTCCCTCCCTGCTCAGCCTGCACTGGCTCCAGCTCGCTGGCTGGAGGACCAGCCATGGGGGAGAGGCAAGTCACTCAGCCCGGGCTAGTCAAGACCAGCCTGCCCACAGCTGACCAGCAGCAACCACAACTGCACGAGTGAGGATGGCGGGGGGTGCCCTGTGCAACATCGTCCGGGAGGCCACAATGAAGGAGCGTCTCACTAACTTTTGGAGCAGTTGCCACACGGCCAAAGCTGAATGCAACACCTCACACCCAGAGTGATGGTGAGCAGAGAAACACTACTAGTCTCACACACATCATTCATTTATCAAAATGCTCCAGGACATTGGTAAGCAGCTGCTGGGTGAAGGCCCCTGAAGCCCCCTCACTTTCAAAACAGGCGAGTGAGCGTGCCCAGGGCTGTGGCTGAGTGTTTCCATCTCACCCTCTACCCCTTTCCCCGCACTCTTCCAGGGAACCCCAAGCTACTAGGCCAGTCTTTTGAGGTGATGCTGGTGTGGCCCCTTTTGCTCTCTTCCAAGCACGGCTTCGGGCACAGGTGGACGAGTGCCGTGCTGTTCTTCCAGCTGTGTGAGTGGTCTTCCCTCTGCCAACAGTCTCTGCTGCAGCGTCACCCTCTCAGGCCCACCCTCCCTGGCTGCAGCCACCCACTTCATCTCTTCTCTCATCCTCCGAGGGTGCTCAGAAATCAGGGGCGGGTTGGTCGTGCTCAGAAATCAGGGGAGGGTTGGTCGTGCTCAGAAATCAGGGGTGGGTTGGTCGTGCTCAGAAATCAGGGGTGGGTTGGTCGCCGCTGGATTCCCCACCTCTGCAACAGTGCCCGGGCACAGCTCGGATCTGGTGACCGAAGGACTCACTGCCCACCCAGAGCTTCGTCCACTAGGCACCCACGTTCTAGGCACAGCCTCTGCCCCACCGCCAACAGAGAGGGGAAAAGCAGCTCAGGCCCTTCCTGACCCAGACCTCTCCTCCCGTTTACACACCGTTGACACACCGCCTCCTGTTCCCAGCGGCTTCTCACCTGCCCCACCGGCTCCACCTCTGCACCTCTCCACCCTTCTGCAACACAGGGGATCGCTGCAAACACCCGCCCCCTTTCCCAGCAGAGGCGAAACCCGACCACGCGCCCCATCTTGCTGAGGCCTTCTGAGGCCTTTCCCAGATTTATCAGCCAAAGCCACCTCTGGCTGCAGGTGAATGCCATGCTCTGTGGGCCCCGCATGGCGTAGTGCTCAATAAGTGACACTAGTATTAGGAGTCACGTGCAGTGAGAGGGCCCAGACTATTAGCCCGCTCCCCACCTGAGCGTAAGCGGGCCTCGTGTAATGGGTGGGGCCGGGAGGGCGGGGCTAGAGCAGGGTGGGCAGTCGTGGGTGGGTCTCACGGGAGTGGGCGGGGCTGACGGGGCGGGTGCGGGGCTCGCTGGGCAGGAGCTGCGGGTGCCCCCACGGTCAGCAGCCCCAAGCGCAGTATGGATGACGGCGGTGAGTCGGGCTGGAGAGGCCGCAGCACCCAGGCTGGGTGTCAGTGGCCGCCGGCCGTGCCGTGGTTCCCTCTGGGGACCTCAGCGCCACACTCCCAGCTGGCAGGCCTTGCGGGCCTTAGTTTCTCTCCCGCTGCTGCGTCTGGCCCCGGGCATCTGGGAACCCAAGTCCTCGCCGCGGCTTGGAGCCAGCAGAGCCAGCAGCCAGGCCCCTGGAGGCGCAGTCACCGTGCCTCCGTGCGGGGTCCAGGGCTGGGACTGTCGCCCAGCTGCAGGCGCTGTCACTTACCCCTTTGCAGGTGAGGAAGCTGAAGCACACACAGAAAAGCGCCACGCGGTGGGTGAGAAGCCCAGGCGGCGCCCTTGGGCACCAGCACCCCTGACGGAGGGAGGAGGGCAGAGGGGTGAGGGATGCAGGCGAGCCTCAAACGGGTCCTGCCACCCAGTCGGCCACGGGGTGTGGGCGGGTGTGTGGAGATTGCCAAGACTGTGCCCCGTCCTGGCGCGGGCAGCCAGGCCGTTCACCATCCAACTGAACTCCAGATCTCACGGCTACACACGTGAATGTCTCCAAGATCAGGGTGCACTCAGCACTAAGGACCCGCCTCCTGCAGTCGGTGGATTTTTTCCTTCAATGACATGATCACGCGGCAGCATGATGGCTGGACCCTGGGTATAGCAGCAGCTCAGCTCCCACAGGAACCTAGACCCATGACGTCCCTGGGGGATAGTCACATCAGTAGGACGGGAAGAACCTGTGTCCTGAATGGCCCCTGGAGCAGAGCTGCCACTGCCCTGCGCCTTCAGCCTCCCAGGAGGTGTGTGACAGACACAGGAGAGCCAATCAGGGGAGGCGAGAGCCCCAAGCCGGAGGGTATAGTGAGTGGTGCTCTGTGACCTGGGGAGTGCCACTATGTTCTCATTTTCAAGCTGAGGAATCCAAAGCCCAGGAGTTACACGGGACGTGGTGGAGTTATGAGGCTGGCGAGGAGCCACTTCCTCTGGGCTCTATCCCACCACACTTTGCCTTTTGGCCCCACAATGTCTTGGGCACGTGCCACTGTGGGACAGCAACATGTCAATATTCCCATTCTCTCCCACCTCTGTGAAGGGCTGGGGCGTCCTGTTCTGCAGCAGAAGTGTGGGTGCAATGTCAGCCACCAGGACACGCAGGTGGGACCTCCTGGCCCGTGGCCCCTGCCCCACCTACTGGTTAACACACAGGGAACAGACATGGCGATGGCCTCCAAGAGACATGTGCAGTGAGAACCACGCTCATGACGCAATCAGCGGGAGGAGTCCTCCTTAACTCTTGCTGACCCAGGCAGGTGGCCAGGGCATATTCTCCACTGCCACTCGCCTCCCCTACTGTGGTGTGGAGGGACTGGCCCGGACACCCACATCAAGGGCAGACAGTGGCATTGATTCCATCCTTCACCAGAGCCATTTGGGAGTGTGGAAAGGGCCCAGATCTGCGCTGACCAGCACAGGCCACCTCTGTGCAGAGGTCAGTTCATGGTGAACCCAACAGAAGGAAGCTTAGGATTTCTTCCCCCAAAGACTGGAAGAAGTCTTCTCCCCATCAGGATGCGGCCGAGGGGCTGCTGCGAACGGCAAGGTCCCACGGGAAGTCATGGGGGACGCCAACTCATGAAGGAGAGCCAGAGACTCAGACAGCAAGGGCTCCAACACCGAGTGCTGGACCAAGCCCACCCGACACTCGACCAGCTTCCAGCTGGAAAACTGTCAGCTTGCATATACGTGCCAGGAGGGCACTTCCCCCACTTGCCTTACAAAGTGTACTTGTGATACCAAAGTGACCTTTAAATGACTTGTTTATTCTTCATATACACCAGTATCAAAAAGTGGGAACCATCAGAAACTCCAGGGCGTTCAGAACCAGTTCTATTAATGTCAGTATTAAAAGGTGGCCTAAAGGCCCCAGAGAAAGCCTGTGGGGTGGCGGGCCCCCCAGGTGCAGGCAGAGCTTCCAGTCAGCCGGGAGGTGCAGTACAAGGTCTGGCAAACCTGCGAGTCGGTGTCCCTCACATTCATGGTGGACCACATGAAGAGGTGGCCTCTGGGAGGAGGGGTCCTAGGGGCAGAGCCCCTGTAAGAGGCCCAAGGAGCACAGGGAAGGCACACAGAGGCAGTCTATAAAGAATGGGCCTCTTCAGGCACCAAGCCTGCGGGCACCTTGGCCCTCCCAGCTCCAGGACTGTTGTGAGCAGTGCTGTGCCACTGCACATGGCTACCCAGYGGAGGGCTCTTCCTGTGACAGCAGGAATGGGCTCGGCAGTTACCTTCAAGCCTAGCTGCTAAAATAACTGCAGGAACAGTCTGCCGGAGTGCATGCCTCACTGAACCCCACAGGGACCTGAACCTGGCGCAGCCTGGGTTCCCTCCCTCCCACTCTCCCCTCCGTCTCCGAAGTCGACTTTGACACAGGACTGGCATCCTATCTCTTACACTTAAAAGATCACTTAAAATGACCTAGTCTCCCTTAATCAAAAGCTTTATTTTTGAAAATCCTAACAGACGACTCTAACTTTGGCATTCAAAGCAGGCATTGTTATTTGCTAACTGTGGCATGGGGCCCTTTCCTCCCTTACCAACAACTGGGATCCAGCAGGACAGGACGGACTGCCAGTGGGAAGGACAAACGCCCCCATCTCCCTTTAACCCATGGAGAAAACTGAGATGGGACAAACTGAGATCTGGGTTCAGGGCGCACAGGACAAAGGGAGTAAGAGCCCAGTCTTCACCCTCCTCCCACCTGCCCCTTAGTCCTGCTGACATGCAGCCCCGAGACACTGCCATTTGCCAAGCTCCTGTGGTATTCACACATAGGGCTGGGCCCCAGCCTAAGTTCCATTACTAACTGGACCTCAGAAACCTTACAACGTCCCCCAATACACCAGGTATCCAGGGACTTGCTTACCTTCCTAGGAGGGCACGTTTGAGCAAAAAGCCCTCCAAGGATGCCCACATTCCTGGGCCTCCTGGCGTCAGTCATCATGTGCTCCAAAGACAGGACTGCCCCACTGACCTGCACGGCGCAGCCCACCACCTGGTGTCCACCTGGTGTCCACCGCTGAGCTCAGGTGTGGATTCGCAGGTGCCGGGTCAGGTTCGTGTTGCGGCTGAAGGTCTTCCCACACTCGGCGCAGCGGAAGGGCTTCTCGCCGGTGTGGATGCGCAGGTGCACCGTCAGCGAGGAGTTCTTGATGAAGGACTTCCCGCACTGCGCGCAGCGGTACGGCTTCTCGCCCGTGTGGATGCGCTGGTGCTCTATCAGGTACGCGCTCTGGCTGAAGGCCTTGCCGCAGTCACTGCACTTGTAGGGACGCTCGCCGGTGTGCACGATCTGGTGCACGACCAGCGACGAGCGCCCGGTGAAGTGCTTCTTGCAGACGTAGCACTCGTAGGGCTTCTCGCCCGTGTGGATGCGCTGGTGCTGCGCGAGCGCCGAGTTCTTGCTGAAGGCCTTCCCGCACTGCGCGCACTCGAAGGGCTTCACTCCGATGTGGAACCTCTGGTGCTGGATGAGGTAGGAGCTCTGGCTGAAGGCCTTGCCACACTCGTTGCACACGTACGGCTTCTCGCCAGTGTGGTTCCTCTGGTGCAAGGTAAGCGAGGAGCTCTTGTTGAAGGCCTTGCCACAATCTTTGCACGCGTACGGCTTCTCTCCCGTGTGCGTGCGCCGGTGCTCTGTCAGATGCATATTCTGGCTGAAGGCCTTGCCACACAAGGGACACACGTAGGGCTTCTCGCCCGTGTGCGTGCGCTGGTGCACAATGAGGTGCATGTTCTGGCTGAAGGCCTTGCCGCAGTCCCCGCACGCGTAGGGCTTCTCGCCCGTGTGGATGCGCTCATGCTGTGTGAGGGACGAGGTCTTGCGGAAGGCCTTGCCGCACACACGGCACGCATAGGGCTTCTCGCCCGTGTGCGTGCGCTGGTGCACTACGAGGTTCATGCGCTGGCTGAAGGCCTTGCCGCAGTCCCCGCACGTGTAGGGCTTCTCCCCCGTGTGCACGCGCCGGTGGATGGTGAGGGACGAGCGCTCCATGAAGGGCTTTCCGCACACGTCACAGCGGAAGGGCTTCTCGCCCGTGTGGATGCGCAGGTGCTTTACGAGGGACGAACTCCGACCGAAGGCCTTGCCGCACTCCCGGCAGTCGTAGGATGCCAGGCGCTGGCGAGGGTCTGAACCGCTGGGGCGCTCCCCACGCACCCCAAACAGGCAGGCCCCCTGCTCCGCGGGCACCTCCAGCGGTAGCGGGTCAGGGGTGCCACTCTGCGTGGTAGAGGCCTTCAACTCATGGCCCTCAGAGACAAAGCCCTCTGCCAGGCTGCTGCCCTGGTCAGTGGGCCGCCGCTCCCCGCGAGACCCCATACCCCAGCCGCCCGCGTGCACGCTCCTGCCCAGGCGCAGGTCCTCTCGGGCCCTCCCAAGGCTGCCCTGGCGGGTGCCTGGCCCTCTACAGTGTCGTCCTTAGATCCAACTCCTTCATTCCAGGTCTAGTCCCCCAGTCTGGAAAAACAAAACAAAACGACAAAAACAGAAGCAGTCAGCGATGCCGGGAGTGAGGAACATCCACAGCGGGACTGCGCAACGGAGCCCCAAGATGCCGGCAAGGCAGGGCCGGGCGAGAAATCGCGCTGGGATCTGGGAGAGCGGGCGAGTGGGGAAGCAGGGTGCGGGTGCGTGTGGCAAAAACGCCCCTTCGGGGAGGGAGAAGGGCGGCGTGAGCTCCGGAGTCGCAGAGAGCCGGCTTGGACGCGCCCAGTGCACCGGAGGCCCCGCACTCGCTCGTACTAAAGTGTCCACAGGTGACACGCGCGCGCTGGTGACTCTGCTCCTTCACCTGCCTCCTGTCTGCCCCAGCCTTCCCCCCGCGAGGCTGACCTGCCACCAGAGGCTTCTGGGTGTCAGGCAAAGGGAGAAATTGGTAGCGCTGGCGGCGAAGTGGGGTGCTCGGGGTGCCACCCTCACCCTGCAGGGTGCAGGCCCACTCCTGCGCTCCACCCGTGGTCTCCGCACGCCCTGGGGCGCCCCCACCCCCACCTCCCCTCTGAGCGTCCTCACGCTCCTTCTCTCCCGTGAGCCTACTAAGAAAACGCCCCTGCGGGAGCCTCAGTCAGACGTGGGGCACGGAAGGCAGCGGCTGCAGGTCGCCCGCAGGAGGCGCCGGGCAGGAGGCTGGCCGCAGCGGCGCGGGGGCGGGAGCAGCTGCGGGTATTAGGTCCCAAGACCAGACAGTTCTCCAGGTGGAGGTGGTGATGTCTGCAGTACAGAGTGAAGGAACCTAATGACATTAAACCACACTTAAAAATGATCAAAACTGTGTTTTATGTATATTTTATCACAATTTTAAAGTATATTTTTAGACTTAGCAGTCGTCCTTGCTGCTCCCCTTTCCTCCACCACCGGTGTGAGTGCCACTGCATGCACAACTGCAGCCACCACAGGTTCTCACCCAAAGAACGGCCCACAGGCTCCCCACCCTCCCAACTCGGCTCTTCTTCACCACCTCCATCCTGGGGACACGAGATCAGACCAACGCACTGGCAATGGAGTCGGGGCTGCCGCTGGCCCTGGACTCCCCAGGCCTGCCCCCCCCCCCAATGAACTGCCCATCCTTCCTGTGTGTGTGTGTGTGTGTGGGTGGGTGCTGGGGATTGAACCCAGGGGTGCTCTACCACGGAGCCACATCCCCAGTCCCTTGTATGTTTTATGATGAGATGGGTTCACTATGATGCCCAGGCCAGCCTGGAACTTGTGGTTCTCCTGCCCCCGCTGCCCAAGGAGCAGGGCTGCCCTTGGGTCCCCAGGGGTACAGGTGGGCCCCACCACACCCATTTCTCGTCCCTTTCTATCGCCTGCCCATGCTCTACAAATTACAAAAGAAACTCAGAATGAAGCCTTCGGGGCCTTGGGAAAAGATATCTTAGATTTGACACCAAAAATACTATCCATAGAAGAAAAAAGTTGAGACACTGGAGTTCACCAAGTTAAAGACCTCTCGGCTCTCCAACAAACGCTGGGCACCAGGTGCCCACACAAAGGAACAATTTGGACCCTTTCCTACACCACTCATAAAAATGAATCCCCAGCGAATCCCAGACCTAAGGAAGAGCTAAAACAGAACTTGAGAAGAATATAGGAGTTGACCCCTGCAACACTCTGCCACCAAAAGCACAAATACAACAAAACAGATAAACGGGACTAGAAATTATGGAAATCAGAAATTAGATGGTAGGCCAGTCTACCCCAAAACCATCATGGAAATGAGAAACTGTGTTTCAAATGACACCATCAAGAAAGGGAAAAGAGCCCCAGAAGGGGGGAGATGTTTGCCCAGCAACCTGCTCAAAGACTCGCACCAGGAACGGGAACGCTCAAAACTCCACCATGACCTAACTGATGTGAAAGGGAGCATGCCCCAGGCTTGAGGCCTGACAGAGATAACACACAAGGCACGGGACACAGAAGGCCAGGGCCATGAGGCCACCCATCTGTGTGGAAAGCCAGGCCGGAAAAGGGCAAGGCTGGTGGACCTGGGCCTGAGCCCAGGCCCTGGACACGCATGCTCTCTGGGGCTTTGTGCGTGACAGAGTGAAGTGGAAACAGTCCGAATACTCAACAAGTGGCTGGGAAGACAAACGCAGGTGCCCACACGGTGGCATGACGCACGGCGAGGAGGAGAGACGGACTGCCGAGACACACGGCCACTTGGGAGCATCATGAGCAACACCACCTGGTCAGGGAACTGGACACGAAGGTGCACGCCCTGTGGCTGTGTGTGCACAGAATCAAGGACATGCAGAGACACTACAGGGACCGAACCCTGGCCACAGGAGAGGGCCGGGAGGCAGGAGTGATCTCCAAGGGCAACGAGGGTGGTGGTGGACACGCTGTCCTGTCATGGCCCTGGTGGCACTGTGCACTGCACGTACGTGCTGTGAATCACAGGCCAGTGGTAGCCCAAAACCATCCACGAAGGAGACAGGACCACGCCAGGTGCGGGTGGGGCTCCCTCCACAGGGCAGTGCCCGACTGTGCCATGTGGCCGACGACTAGTCTTGCCCTTTGGTTTTCTTCCCACACACTTCCCCCACTTATGGAAGGGGCCTAAGGACAGACCCTTAAAAGTGACTGTTAAAACTGTGACTTAGGATACCAAACTGACTCCAAGAGGCTTGCCCGACTGCACTCCTGAAGTGGGTCTCTGGCCCTAAACCCTTTCTCATTAATCTTAGTGTATTCCAAAAGGATGATCTCTCAATTTGTAAACTTCTATCAGGAAAGCGTTTTGAAACCTCAGGCTGTGACCTGTGTGTCACCCTGTGTGTCTGTGAACTGCCAGCTCCTGTCAGTGTGGTCTGATCACCTACCGCTCACTTAGTCCTGCTGCCCTTTGTTCCCAGGGGTGGTTTATGGATCACGACCCCTGGTTATACCTGTGAAGAAATCATCCTCATGTCACCTACCGACCTTACTTTGAGCCTCAAGCCGTGACAGGACCAGGAACGTACCCTCTGCGCCAGCTCCTCAGCTGCACCTTCCAGCGGCCCCACACCCTTCCTGGCAGGACCCTTTTCCTGTGACTGTGTCCTGTTATGGGCTGCTGGTGACGCCGCAGTACCACCCTTACCCAGAGACCAGGTCCTGGAGTTCTCCAGCGTGACATCCTGTGCAGGTCCTTCTGGGCAGGCTCAGCTGCTGCCACTCCTCCTGGGTCAAGTCCACAGTCAGGTCCCTGGGTGTCACTGACTCCTGCAGACAGACCCGCACCTCTCACCGCCAGGCCCTCCTCAGAGCTCTGGAGGTGTGGCCGGAAACACGGGCAGGATTTAGGGATGTCTGTGAAGTCAGGAGCAGACGGGGAGGAGGGACTAGAGCCTCCTGGGCAGGCGGGTCACCAGGGTCTGGAGATGCGGCCACAGGGGGCTGAGCAGAGCTCTGAAGCCCTCATGAGGGTGGCTTAGAGTGAGGCTGCGCACAGTCAGGAGAGCTGGGGGGCTTCTGGAAGAGGGTCCATGGAGCCAGAGCTGGGCCCTAGCAGGTGGTCAGGCGGCTGGGGTGGGAGCAGTCCTTGAGGCACAGGCTTGAACCCTGAAACCACACCACGGCGCAGCAGCAGACGGTGGCAGAAGGGTCACCGAGCAGTGGCCCTCACTTCCTCCCAGCTGCTCAGTGCCAGCCCTTCTGGGCGGTGTCATGGGTCAGATCAAGTGCTGTGCCCCAAACATTTGTAAGTGCACGTCCTGCCTCCCCAGGGCCCTGACCGGACTGAGACACAGGGTGGCTGGGGAAGTGATCAGTCACGACGAGGTCATCCTGCAGCAGCAGCCCTGGCCGGTCATGACCATGTCCTTGTAAGAGGCGAGAAGGCAGGCAGGCAGAACCCAGCCAAGATGGCAGCCACAGGGACAGTGCCAGGGCAGACCACTCCCCCACCTTCAGAAGGGTGGAGTCCTGTGGGCAACTTGCCAGGGCGTCAGTCTCCGGGTGGGAGGACAGCTCCTGATGGCCCTGTACAGCCACCCGTAGATGGACACAGCACTTCCCCTGCTGACCCACTCACTAATTCAGAGCAGGCCACAAGACAGCCACGGCGGCCTGTCACTCTCAGTGACCTCTCCCCGCCCCTTCCCGCCTGCCCCAGCACTCCTGGTTCCCACACGGCCCGCTGGGCCCTGCCAGGAGCAGGCGCTGCAGGGAGCGGGCAGGTGCAGAGGGCAGCCGGCACAGAGGGGCAGACCCTGCGTGGTTAGATGTGAGGCACGCCTGCGGGCAGTGTGGGGGGAAAGGCTGGGTCGTGAGCTGCCCACCTGACCGGGCATCAGTCCCCTGGCGGGGTTAGCTGTGTAACTGGAGGTGGCCGGGCTGTGGCTGGAGGAGGTGGTCCTGGGGGCTGTGCCTTGTCATGGAGAGGAGAGCTCTCTCTGCTTCCTGGTGCCCTGTCCTCAGATGCCTCCCGCACACACACTCTGCCCTGATGTTCTGCCTCACCTCAGGCCCAGGGAACACAGGTGGCCATCTATGCACTAAAAGACTCTGAAATTGTGGGCCCCCAAATAAACTCTTCCTCCTCTGATTGTTTTTCTCAGGTCTTTTGGTCCCAGCAGCAAAAAAGCTGACTAAAACAGCCCCTCCTCTGGTCACACGGCAGCTAGTG